AATAAATATAAATTACATAATTATAAACAATTGTTTCAAGTTATGTATTTTAACATCAATATTATTTTTTTCTTTTGTATCTCATAAAAAAAATTTCTTTAAAACCAATTAGTAAATTGTTTTAATAGCATAATTAAACAACTTTAGAATCTTATAAACAATTATTTTTTAATATATATATATATATATATATATAATTTCTAGCTTAGCATTTAATTTTACCTATTTAATAAAACCTTTAAAATTTTCCCTCTATTTTCAGTTACAAAATTTATCATTAATTTTTTTTTTTACTTCTCACATTAACACATCTTATTAAGTGTAATCATATATTTTTATATTATATTATATAATAGTTATTGCTAATACCAACTAATAATAATTCACAATAAACATAATTATAAATAATTGCTTCAAGTTATTTATATTAACATCAATATTATCTTTTTTTTTTTGTATCTCATGAAAAAATTTCTTTAAAAACATTTAGTAAATTGTTTTAATAGCATAGTCAAACAACTTTAGAAGCTTATAAACAATTATTTTTAATAATAATAATAATAATCAAACTGTTATTATCTAATGATAATAAACAATTGTTCATAATAATAAAACCGTTAATTTATTTTTTCTAATGATCAAATTTTTAAAAATGTAATATGTTCATTATCTAGAATTTTATATTAAATTCTCAAATATTACTTACTAATATTTTATGTAACATCTGTGCATGTGCACATGATATCTACTAGTTTTTTAATTTGTTATGCATATTTTTAAACTAAAATGTTACATAAAAAAAAATATGTATTTAATTTTATAGTATGTATATATATATATATATATATATATATATATTTAAAAGAAATATAACGAGCAGACTTGTCTTGTGTTAAATCGTCTCATACATGAATTTATAAGTGAATATCATCTATATATTAATTCAAAACGTGTTGAGCGTAAGTGACAGATTCTCACGCTTCGGATGCTGACATAACGAAAATATATGTTTTGTGATGTTGTTTTTATATTATTTTTGCTTTGGAGTTAGGTTTGGTATTAGACATAAATAATTTTAAACATATATTCATTAACTCAACACTCATATTGTACATGAGTATTATTACTAATATACTATTAAATATGAAAAATTATGCAAAACGTTATCAATTA